TTAACGAGGAAGTGCACAGCGACACTCAATCACTGGGATTTACATCCAGCAGTTATTTAAACGACCTCCAAACATGTCGCTCACAAACGCAGGCCTCTCGTGCTTTGCTCAAGGGCACTTCTACTGAACACGCAGCGACAAAGAGATGCGATCAGTCTTTTTATATTCTACTTTTTAACCTTTATGTTTTCCCAGACTGGGAATTTAATTATTTTGTGATTAAAGAACTAAAAACGGACATTAGAATAAGCCACCAAGACAAAGAACCTCATTAGCGGCTCTCGCTGCTCGTTCTTGGGACATGTCGCCTTAATGTAACTGCGGTCTCGGGTGATTGATTTTAAATGAAGCCCAATTGTGAAATAAGCTTTTAAATTAGGACAAACATTTCCCACAAAGGTTGTTAATGGGCTGCTATTTTCTACATTCTCAGGAACAGTATTGAAATTATATTATCTACTGAGTTGTGTCCATGCGCATCAAATTGTCCAATTTATCCAAGTTGATGAGGTTGTTGTGGTTTCACCATCCACACCAGAGACCAGTTTGATCAAAAGTGAACCACAATTTTGACACTTGTTGGTATCAAATAATCACTCATCTGCTGGGTAAAAGCATCAGTTCTTCCTGTTCGTTTTCACATTGGTTTACCAGCCTATATGCCAGCATCAGTCCAGCTTTAAAGTTGTCTGACTTACTTATCTGAATCTCAGATCCTCCCAGACTGCAGCATCTCTGTGTGAGGGAGATGCAGGGGGGAGACACAAACCTCCTTTCCTGTTGCTAGAATTTGTTGCAACTTGAGTCACTTCCTGTATTTGTGAGTTCTGGTTCAGTTTTGAACAGGTTGGTTAGCTTTAATTAGAGTTACCATTTATTTATTTATTTATTTTTGCTATAAGCAGTAAAGACGAGAAACAAATGAGAATAAACTGCAGCAGCTCCAGAAAGAAAGAAAATAACGTGGCTGACAGAACTGGCTCTGCTTTAACATGTAGACCAGGGGTGTCGAACGCCAGGCCTCGAGGGCCGGTGTCCTGCAGGTTTTAGATCTCACCCTGGGTCAACACACCTGAATCAGATGATTAGCTCATTACCAGGCTTCTGGAGAACTTTAAGACATGTTGAGGAGGTAATTTAAATCAGCTGTGTTGGATCAAGTACACATCTAAAACCTGCAAGAGACCAGCCCTTGAGGCCTGGAGTTCGACACCTGTGATGTAGACAAAGGAGCAACGTGCAACACGAGCACTTAATTTAACTGAGACAGAAAATTGTTTTTACACTTGGATCTTTCAGAATAAGCTTCACTCAGAACTGTAACCTGCCCATCCTGGTTTACTTCACATCATAGGTTTGTAGGCCTGTCATTCACACGTCACATGCAGTGAGATTCTCAGAAAATACAGAGAACCCCCAGTGTCCTGCAGGGTTTAGATGTGTCCTTGATCCAGCACAGCTGATTTAAATGAGAGGCCTGGTTATGAACTAATCATGTGATTCAGGTGTGCTGACCCAGGGTGAGACCTAAAACCTGCAGGACACCGGTCACGAGGCCTGGAGTTGGACACCCCTGCTTTAAACTCTGAACAAAGAGCACTTCAAACGGTCTAAACACACTGAGATGCTGCGTTTGTTTCATTTTCTACTTCTATGAAATCAAGAAGTGCCACATGGGATGAAGAAGCGTAAACGCTGCAGGTTCCTTTCATGATGAAAGCACCTTTGCCTTCAAATGTCACT